TGGTAGCGAAGATCGACTCATCATGGAACGAACCATGTCCAACAAGGTTCGATTACGCCTCTCAGCTACACCATTAAGTTGTGGTGCCCTAGGAGGTGCCAATTGTGAAACAATTCCACATTCATTGAGGTAGTCGTGGAACTCGATACTAAGATACTCACCAACTCTACCAGATCTGAGCATCTTTATCTTCCTGCCCAATTGATTTTCGACTTCATGTTTAAACTCTTTCAACTTTTCAAAAGTTTCTGACTTGTGCTTGATTAAGTATATATATCCATATCTGCTATAATCATCTGTAAAAGTCACATAAAATCGATTTGCATCCCTTGTGGTGGATCTAAAGAGCCTACACACATCTGTGTGTATGAGATCCAATAATCCTTCACCTTTTTCACAAGAACCAGTGAAAGGTGATTTAGTCATCTTTCCAAGTAAACAAGAATAGCATGTATCATCCGACTTTAGGTAAAATGATTCCAACACTCCATCCTTTTGGAGTTGGCCAATGCGCTTCTTGTTGACATGTCCAAGACGATAATGCCACAAGCATGCTTTGTCTAGACCATTAGACGCATCAATTTGTAACACAATATTTCCTAAATTGTCTACAACCATCACAGTTTCATATACACAATCACAAGGTAATGCTTCAAAATAAAATACACCATTATAATAAGCATTAATAGATCCATTCTCATTATTAAACGAATATCTGAAACCTTGTCTATTTAAACCATGAAAAGAAATAATATTCCTTGTCATTTCTAACGAGTAGCAACAATTATTCAAATCTAAAATTAACCCACTACTAAGCACTAAAGAGTAAATCCCAATCTTGGTAACATATGAGAATCTCCTATTGTCCATGATCAGGTTCATCTTCCCATGCTCCACATCCTCACTTCTTCTTAGCCCCTGCAACTCAAAACAAAAGTGAAAACTGCATCCCGTATCAAGGAACCAAGAATTCAAATGTGATGAGTTTTTAGATAGGATAGTGTAAATACCTGCCAAGGTTGGCTTCACCTTGCCATCCCTAATGTCTTGCAAGTACTTCGGGCAGCTTCTCTTCCAAATCCCCTTGTCATGGCAGTAAAAACAAGTAGCCTCTTTAGGATTAGAGGCAGGGGGAGCATCAGAACCATATTTGCCTTTGGAGCCATTACTAGATGACCCCGCTTGGGACTTGACCTTCCAGGTTTACTTAGGAGGACCTTTCCTCTTCTTCCCCTTTCCTTTCCCAATGGCCAGGAATGGAGCAGCAACAGTAGGAGTAGATTCAACACCTTTTCTTTTCAATCCACCTTTAGTAGTTCTCAGCAAGCCTTGAAGTTAACTCAACGTGATTTCCTCTTTGTTCAAATGAAAAGTCATTTTGAACTGATCATAACAAATAGGAAATGAGCTCAAGACTATATCAATAGCCAATTCCTCATCGAAATTCACGTTAAGTTTCAGCAAACGATCCACATAGCGCTGCATGCGTTGCAGGTAGGTCGTGACGGACTCTCCTTCCTTCATCTTGGTGGTTATGAGTGACTTGACTATCTCATACCTTTCTTGACATGCTCTTTGATGGTACTTTTCCATCAAGTCCTTACACATCTCATAAGGCCAATAGTCACCATGATACACGCCACTTTGGTCACGTCTTTGCAGTGGACCCCATACTCAGCTATTTCTTCAGGAGTAGCTTTAGATTCATCTATCTCGTTCATCTCTTTGTCGAGAACATATTCCTTGTCCTCGTATCACAAGGCCATCCTTATGTTGTGCATCCAGTCATTAAAATTAGAGCCATCGAATATGACCCTGCCACAAATACCCAAGAGTGAGAAAGAGTTGGAGGAGTTGTTGTTATTGGAGGAACCAGAAGCGTTGTTGGAGGTCGACATCTGAAAAAGAAGAAAGACAAGTTTTGATTAGATAATTAATATAACACCTAAATGAAATATTAAGGCTAGGATCCAACATAATAATTCACAATTCAGAAAAGGGATGTCGTAATCTAATTGTAAACTATTTGAAGGTAGGTAAATGACGATTTACCAATTCCACCACGAAAAACGAAATTTAAATGAATTAGGTTTTGAAATGAAATTCCTAGATCTTTTGAGATTCATTGAACAATTCAATGGCATGTTTAATCTCGATTATGCCCTTTCCATTTGTGACTGGGATACCGAGGATCACAAACAAGGTGTGAATAACCATGCAAATTAGCTTGGTACCTTCGATGTCATTTATCACCTAATTGATGTGTCGGGTAGCCACACACGCTCCATCAATCAATGATAATTTACGAGTTACCCATTGTCACCCTTTGTTAGTCCATGTTAGTGTACCGGTTAACCACACACGCTCCGCTAATGACTTTTACAAAGTGCAATGTGCAATTTCATGGACTAGCATCAAATTCACATTTTCCTAAAGTAACTAAGATTGGGAATTTTATAAAAAAAACATTTAGTTAAATTATATATTTCATTATACTTATTAATGAGAGTTTGGTGTCCTGTCAAACCCGTTCGGCTAACGACCCTCCACTAGTCAAAAGTGCGATGGGTAAGAGTGGATACCCAATGACGGTCATTTTATAGGCCACTTCCTTAAACACCCCTTATAGACCCGCTTCGTGAATGAAGCCTACTAACGGTAAGACTGGTCTTTTCTTATACACACACACACACACACACACACACATATATATATATATATATATATATATATATATATATATATATATATATATATATATATATATATATATATATACTAGGTTAAGGATCAAGTGGTCGAAATTCTCAAGACTAGGGTTCCTTATATATAAAGCTAAGGTTTGCAGGTGGAAACCCTAATTCCCTGCTTAAGGCCTAAGCATCCCATATACATCCCATTAAGGCACCTTGGACGAAAACTTATAGGGCCTCTTATAATTTTCGTCCACTCCTATCTATGGAGTCCAAGAGCCCTATTTCACAACTATTAAATAAATGTAACGCAGCCCCTGTACTTTTTAATTAATTCTTTCAATCCCAAAAATTAATTCCAAATTAATTTCTGATTAAATATTAATTAAAAAAACATGATTTCTAATTAACATATTAATAAATCATCAATTTATTATTCCAAATAATAAAATTAACTTCTCTCCAAAAGTCATCGTGTCAAGTTGCAAGAATAAAGGCAACCCAAAATGAATGTGCTTCTATCAATTCAAGTACATATCAATTATAGTTATGGGCTTAGAAACCTAATCCAAAACATATATGATAACCAAGTTTGGAATTTAGTTGATCATGTGCCTAGTCGAAAGACAGTTGGGTGCAAATTTGTTGGATTAGTGTCTAAGCCCATAACTATATTTGGTATGTACTTGACCCGGTTGTGCATGGTCCTTTTGGGTTGCCTTCACTAAAGCGACTTGACAAGGTAATTTGATATGAGAGAGAGGATATTATGGTTTATTAATATATTATAAGAATAATATATTAAAGGAGAAATCATATTTATTTAATTAGTATTAGTCATAAATTAATTAGGAATTAATTTGGTGACTAAAAGAGATTAATTAAATAAAGGGGCATAAACTGTCAAATGTGTGATAGTTGAGTTTTGGGCTGGGAAACCTAATGGACTAAGGGGGAACGAAATTATGATGAAGGATCATCATATTTTCGTCCAAGGCCTCATTCCAGAAGGTTCCTTGGGCTGCTTGGTGGCTAAGCTATCCATTAGGGTTTAGACTGAAACCCTAGCACCCTACAGTATAAATAAGACCCAAAGGCTTCAATTTCCGGCCACTTGTTCCCAAGAGAAACCCTAGGGCCGAAATTAAGCATCCTCCCTCCTCTCTCAAGTTACCTTCTTGCTTGTGTGGTGTTTGTAATCCATTAGAGGAATTACAATTGTGATTCTAAGCTCAAGAAAAGAAGATTCAAGCTACTATTGAAGAGGTAAACATCTAGATCTGATGTTATTTGTTATTTTGATATTATGTATGCTAGATTAGGGTTTGCAAGTCTTGGATTCAAAGCATGTACAATAGAGAAACCTAGATCCAAGCATTAGGGTTTGTATGAACACATATGATTGTTCTTATGCATAAAACCCATCAGTGGTATCAGAGCCTTGATTGGTTTCTGTTGTATGTGATGCTTTAACTGTTTGCATGCTGAAAATCGTTTTTCTGGCTTCTGTTCGACTGGACTCGGCGAGTCACTTCATGCACTCGGCGAGTCGGCCCTACTCGGCGAGTCCATGAGTGGCTCGGCGAGTCGGATCGTCTGACAGAGGATATATCGGGATTTCTTGCTGTTTTTGCTATGGAATAGTTGCCTAATCTGTTTTTACTGATAAAATTCAAATTTTAATGATTTTGTGAGACTATCCTTGCCAAAAACAAAAGATATTTACCAATTGATTAGATAATAAATTCCTTATATGATTAAAATTGATTATTTGTATTAATTGGGTAACTTATCTTGCAAGAATTGAATTAGGTCAAGTATAGATAATCACTAAATTAATTGTTTGATTTATATTATTTGTTATTTGATCCCTTGTGTTTTGAAAAGTTCAAAACTTGTCCTCAAGTTTTGAAATTTAAATTTTGTGATTAAAAGTTTAATTTTGAATGATTTAAATTTCAAACCCTTAGAATTTTACAAGTTTAAAATTCAACCCTATACTATTATATTATTACAAGATTAATTAATATATATGTATAAGAATAAACTAGTCTTATCGCTAGTAGGCCTCATTCACGAAGCCAGTCTATAAGGTGGGTATAAGGTTGCTGCCTATAAAATGGCGCTTAATGGGTGTACACTCACACCTACCGCTTGCTTGACTGGTGGAGGGTCGTTAGCCGAACGGATAGGATAGGGCACTTAATTCCTCATTATAAGTATAATGAATTATTAAAGTAACTACATTGTTTTATAAATTCCCAATCTTAGTTACTTTAGGGTAAAATGTGAAAATGATGTTATTCCATGGAATTACACTTTGTACCCCTGTCAAATGTTAGTGGAGCGTGCGTGGCTAACCGACACACTAATTTGGGATTGACATTGGTGACAAAGGGTGGCTCGATGTTTATCATAGATCAATGGAGCGTGCGTGGCTAACCAACACATTGATTAGGTGATAGAGACATTGGGTGCACCATGTTGATTCGCATGGTTATTCACAACTTGTTTGCGATTCTCGGCATCCCAGTCGCAAATGTGAAGTGCATATCAAGATTTAAACATGCCATTGAAATGTTCAATGAATCTCAAAAGAAATCTAGGAATTTTCAAATACATTTAAAACTTAATCTCTTTTCGTTTTCCATGGTGAAAATTAGTGAATCGTCATTCACTTACCTTCAAATTATTTACTTTTAGATTACGGCATCCCTTTTCTAAGTTGTAAATAATGTTGTTGGATCCTAGCCCTAATTTCTCATTTGGGTGTTTAATTGGGGATTCATTTCTAATCAAACTTTGTTTCTTTCTATTTCAGATGTCTAACGCAAACGCAAACAACAACACTTCTGGGTCATTCTCGTTGATGAACATGTGTCAAAAGGTGACATTTGATGGCTCGAACTTCAACGAGTGGATGAGATACATTCGCATGATAACTCGTTACGAGGACAAAGAATATGTCCTCGACGAGAAGCTATAGAAGATCAACCCAGAAGAAGCTACTCCTGAAGATATGGCCGCCTTTGAGGCCCACGAGCGTGATGCAACGAAAGTTCATTGCATCATGTTGGCCACCATGAACCTCGAACTCCAAAAGTCCTATGAGGACATGTATCCATATGAGATGCATCAAGATTTGCTGGACAGGTACCACCAGAGCGCGAGGCAAGAGCGCTATGAGATCATCACCAACATGATCACCGCTAGGATGGGGAGTGGAGAATCCCTAACTGCTCATTTGCAAAGAATGCAAAGGTATGTTGATCGTCTTCTCAAACTTAATGTTAAGTTTGATGAGGATTTGGCTATCGACATCATCCTCCACTCCTTGCCTTCCTGCTACAACCAGTTCAGAATGACCTACCACATGAATAAGGAAGAGGTCACCCTAAGTAAGCTTCAAGGGCTCCTGAGGACAGCTGAGAGCAACCTCAAGGACAAATCTATTGCATCATCATCTACTGTAGCTGCTCCTGTGTTGGCAATTGGCCAAGGAAAGGGAAAGAAGAGGAAGGCTCCTTCTAAGAGCCACCATAAGGGTAAGACCCAAGATGGTTCCTCTTCTAGTGGGACCAAAGCAGGTTCTGTTAAGCCCTCTTCTGACCCCAAGGAAGCAGAGTGCTTCTATTGCCACCAGAAGGGCCACTGGAAACGAAGTTGCCCAAAATATCTGCAGGACATTAAGGATGGGAAGATAAAGCCCACCTTCGCAGGTATGTATTTAATTAAATCTAATAACTCATCACTTGCTACTTCATGGGTCCTTGATACTGGATGTGGTTACCACATTTTTTCTGATTTGCAGGGGCTAAGAAAAAGTAGGGAAGTGGAGCATGGAAGGATAAATTTGATCATGGGAAACAAGAAGTCTTCACCAGTAACCAAGATCGGAGTTTATTCCTTAGTGTTGAGTAATGGGTTAGGGCTAGATTTAAATAATTGTTGCTATTCGCCAGATATGGCAAGAAACATCATTTCTTTTCGTGGATTGTTTAGACAAGGTTTCAGATATTCGTTTGATAATAGTAATGGTTCTATTAATGCTTATTTGAATGGTGTCTTTTATTTCAATGCATTACCTTGTAATGGGATTTATGAATCTGTGTTAATTATAGATAATTTAGGAAATGATGTTTTGAATATTGATTCGTCCACAAGTTTGGACAAAGCATGCTTGTGGCATTGTCGCCTTGGCCATGTTAACAAGAAACGCATAGCGCAACTCCAAAAGGATGGAGTCTTGGAGTCATTAGACCTTAGGGACGATGACGTGTGTGAGTCTTGTTTACTTGGGAAGATGACCAAGTCACCCTTTACTGGCTCATGTGAAAGGGGTGAGGGTGTATTGGATCTCATACATACAGATGTATGTGGACCCTTTAGATCCACCACAAGGGACGCATGTCGCTTCTACGTGACTTTTACAGACGATTATAGCAGATATGGATATATCTACTTAATCAAGCAGAAGTCAGAAACCTTTGAAAAGTTCAAAGAGTTCAAGAATGAAGTGGAGAATCAGTTGGGCAGGAAAATCAAGATGCTTCGATCTGATCGAGGAGGAGAGTACCTAAGTCTTGAGTTTCACGACTATCTAAAAGAATGCGGAATAGTTTCGCAATTGACGCCTCCTAGAACGCCAAAATTGAATGGTGTGGCTGAGAGACGTAATCGAACCTTGTTGGACATGGTTCGTTCTATGATGAGTCGTGCTTCGTTAACAATCTCATTCTGGGGGTATGCCTTAGAGACTGTCGCCCATATCCTTAACTTAGTTCGCACCAAGAAGGTTGCCAAAACACCTCACGAGATGTGGACAGGGAAAGCTCCCTCGTTATCACATATCAAGGTTTGGGGTTGTGAAGCTTTCGTAAGACGAGAGACTCACGACAAGCTAGAACCTCGTAGTGAGAAGTGTTATTTCATCGGCTACCCATAGAAGTCTTTTGGCTATCTCTTCTATAGACCAAGTGACAATGTTGTCTTTGTTGCTAGGAGAGGGGTTTTCAGAGAGAGAGAAATCATAAGTCAAGGAGACAGTGGGAGTCAGATTGACCTTGAAGAGCTTCAAGAGTCAGGAGATGAAGGAACCTCTGACACTGGCATGCAACCTGAGGAGGAAACTCTTGTTGAACCAATTGACCAGTCCTTACTGATGTGAAGAGGGTATCGTCAGAAGATAACCCAGCAGATCCCCTTACGAAGGGACTAAGTAGGGTAAAGCATTTGAAGTACACTAGGAGCGTTGGGCTAAAGGACGATATTAGTTTAGATTAGATAGGTAGGAAATTTGTAATGGATAATTTTGTATTCAACATTTTGATGATTAAATAAAGGTGTGTTATTTATAAGAAAGTTGCTATCTTGTGTTGATAATTTATCTGTTATTTCCAAATTTTGCATGTTTTGACTTCCTGAATAATAAGATTGTTCGAACAGTCCACAATCGCTCATATGTTGGAAGTAGATATGAAAGAAGATTGTCATAAATTTGTTTGTAGATTGTATGAAAGGTTTTAGACATAGCAAAGGTTTGTTACGAAGTTTATGAGTGCTTATGAAATATGTTTTGAGCATTGGAATAAACCCGCACTTGCTAGTATCACTTCTTGAATGTTATCATAAGTGATCGCAAGATGATAATATCATATAATCTTAAAACCTAGAGATATGGTTATTGTTTGCTGGTTGATTATATATTGATAATACGAAAACGCATCAGTAACTTGATGTTATAAAACGTATTATTGTGTGTAACTTAGCTAGTAGATAATAAAAGCATATAAGTCGAAGTTTATCTGTTCCTTTTATTCTAAGAGGATAAAAGCGATATCTTGGCCACTCGATGATTTGGTTTGACTTATGTGCCGGGCCCGGTCAGGATGAGGTTGATGTGTTCAACTGAGTTCTATGTCGAACGAATCAGAGATCGAGAAACAAAATGCTGGACAATAAGTATTGTCAGCATGATATCTAGAACAGAGGATTATACGATCCCTTATCTGAAGGACAGGATTTTGATCAGAGTTGACAGGAGCGTATAAGAGCTACGATTGCTAATCGGATTCTGAAATCGTATGTGAGATATAGTTACTAGACTTATCCAAGTGGGAGACTGTTGGATTAGTGTCTAAGCCCGTAACTATATTTGGTATGTACTTGACCCGGTTGTGCATGGTCCTTTTGTGTTGCCTTCACCAAAGCGACTTGACAAGGTAATTTGATATGAAAGAGAGGATATTATGGTTTATTAATATATTATAAGAATAATATATTAAAGGAGAAATCATATTTATTTAATTAGTATTAGTCATAAATTAATTAGGAATTAATTTGGTGACTAAAAGAGATTAATTAAATAAAGGGGCATAAACTGTCAAATGTGTGATAGTTGAGTTTTGGGTTAGGAAACCTAATGGACTAAGGGGGAACGAAATTATGATGAAGGATCATCATATTTTCGTCCAAGGCCTCATTCCAGAAGGTTCCTTGGGCTGCTTGGTGGCTAAGCTATCCATTAGGGTTTAGATTGAAACCCTAGCACCCTATAGTATAAATAAGACCCAAAGGCTTCAATTTTCGGCCACTTGTTCCCAAGAGAAACCCTAGGGCCGAAATTAAGCATCCTCCCTCCTCTCTCGAGTTACCTTCTTGCTTGTATGGTGTTTGTGATCCATTAGAGGAATTACAATTGTGATTCTAAGCTCAAGAAAAGAAGATTCAAGCTACTATTGAAGAGGTAAACATCTAGATCTGATGTTATTTGTTATTTTGATATTATGTATGCTAGATTAGGGTTTGCAAGTCTTGGATTCAAAGCATGTACAATAGAGAAACCTAGATCCAAGCATTAGGGTTTGTATGAACACAGAGGATTGTTCTTATGCATAAAACCCATCAAAATTGATCTTCAAGAAGAATACCGACACGGATGGGAAAGTACACACGTTCAAGGCATGACTGGTTGCAAAGGTCCTTACTCAAACCCAAGGGATTGACTATGATGAGACCTTCTCACCAATGACCAAGATAAAGTCTATTAGGATAATGATTTCCATAGCTGCCTTTAATGATTATGAAATATGGCTAATTGATGCTAAAACTACTTTCCTTAATGGAAGTTGGCTGAGGATGTTTACATGATTCATCCAGATGGTTTTGTACATGCAAAGTTTCCTAATAGAGTGTGTAAGCTTGAGAAGTCCATTTATGTATTGAAACAAGCGTCTCACAGCAGGAATCTTTGTTTCCATGAGAAAGTCAAAGAGTTTGGTTTCTCTAGGAGCAAGGATGAGTCATGTGTGTATGTCAAAAATAGTTGGAGTATAGTATCTTTCCTAGTATTGTATTTTCATGACATACTCTTTATAGGAAACGACATTCCGACCTTGCAAGAAGTGAAATCTTGGCTTGGGAAGTGTTACGCCATGAAGGGTCTATGAGAAGCAACTTATATTCTTGCGATAAGGATTCTAATGGATTAAAAGAAAAGGCTTATTGGTCTTAGTCAGAGTACATACTTGGATAAAACACTAAAGTGTTTTAGTATGGAGAACTCCAAGAAAGGGGAACTACCCATTTATAGCACTGTCAAGTTGAGTAAGACTCAAAACCCTAGTACAAATGAAGAGATAGTTGACATGATTCGAGTCTCATATGATTCGGTTGTAGGTTCGATCATGTATGATATTACATGTACTCGCCCTGATGTGTCTTATGCTTTAGGCATGGTCAATTGCTTTCAAGGAAATCCTGGCAGAGCTCATTGGACTGCAGTAAAGAACATTCTTAAGTATCTGCGAAGGATGAAGGATATGATTATAGTCCTTGGTAGCAGTGATACATTAAGAATGACAATGTATAGTGACGCTAGCTTTCAGACAGATCGAGACAACTTTTGTTCTCATTCGGGCTAGGTGTTTGTGTTAAATGGTGGAGCAGTGACTTGGAAAAGTTATAAGCAGGATACCATGGTTGATTCTACTTGTGAATCATAGTACATTACAGCAAGTGAGGCATCGAAGGAGGTGGCTTGGTTGAATAACTTCATCGGCGATATTGGAGTAGTCCCGACCATTCAAGAGCCATTGGAACTTTTATATGATAATGAAGGAGTGGTTGCTTTGAAAAATGAACCCAATGATCATGGTAGATCCAACGATATCGACAAAAAGTACCATTATATCAGATATAGGGTTTAATAAGGTCATCTACTAGTGAAGAGAGTATCCTGAGAAGATAATCATGCAGATCCTTTCACAAAGGCTCCGGGTAGGGTTAAGCATAACCAGCATGATAGGAGCATAAGCTTGAGAGATGATATTAGTTTTAGTAGTTAGTTGATACTTTGAAACCTGTAACAAAAAAATGTAATTGACTTTGGTGATTAAATAATAGAGATTATTTATGAGTATAGTTACTGCCTTTTTCAATTGTTTATTCTTGTGTTTCGTTTTGCATGTTTTACTTCCTAAATGATTTGATTATTCAAAATTCCACAGTCCCTCATACATTTGGAAGTATGTAGTGAATTAAGATTGTCATGAATATATTGTACATTGTTTATGGAGATTAGACTTTGCAATGGTTGCTACAATATTCATGAGCACTTAGAAAATGGAGAATTTGAGTATTGGATAAAACCAGGCTCAGAGAATTACTTCATGGATTATATCACGAGTAATTTTGAGACGATAATATCTTATATTCGTGAAATGGAGATATATGAGTTGTAATTTACAAGTCGATTGTGCATTGGTGTTACGAAAACACATCAGTAACGTGATGTTATAAACGTAGCTTCATACATGATTTGGTGAGTAACATATACAAGAATATGAGTCAGATTTTATTCGTTCCTTTTTCCCTAATGGGAAAAATGATATCTTTGGGCCCCTCGGTGATTTGGTGTTAACATTGTAGTGCTGGGCCCATCCATGACTAAATTGATATGTTCAATTAGTAGTCTTATGAGGTCATCACAGATCTGGAAATCAGGAAACAGAATTTTGGACAAGGTTTTGATTTTAATC